GCATAAAAGGACATCAAAAATCGCGCAGCTCCCCTCTGCAATCTCACGATTCTCTTTCACTTTGTTTTTGTTGAAGACATTTTCTTCAGCTGTAGACCCAATTCTAAGGAAGTTCAACGAAGGTTTTTTAGGAGTCCAAGTCGTTTGTCATGAACCTCTTTCGAGGCCGAGCCGTCAATGAACAAGTTTTTCCCTATCCGCTGAAGTTGGATGACGATCAACGAGAAACCCTGAACATGTTCATGGCACCCACTGAGAAGTTCTTCGAGGAGGTCAACGATGTGGTGAAGTGAGTTGCTTTTTCACTCAAAATTGCCATTAGGTTGTCGGTTCAGCTGTGAACCTTCTTTTTGGGTACAAATTTGCATATCTAATCGTTTCTGATCATAAAGATTCGAATACAATTATGCATTTTGTCTGAGACTGTTCAGAGTCGCAACCTTGCCTCCTTAGACGAAATGGGGGCGGAGATTTCGAATTGAGTGTAGATTGTGGGGGAATTGAGCCCACTTCAAGCCTCTGCTGCGCCATTTGAGCGCCAAAAGCAGAAGCTTGTTAGTTTGTGGACCAGTCTTTCGCACCCGTCGATGATTCAGTTAGTTAATCGTGGGATATATCCTCCAAGGCCTGTACAAAAACCTTAGATACGTTCCACGTTGAATACGGCAGAAAACGATTTTCGGCTCGAATTCGATAAATCGCTTTGACGGAGAAAGCTCAGAGGGTCCATAGCTTAGTCCGGAGACATGGAACATGCCATAAGTCCGTTTTCTATCCACTATTCCTTTTAATGGATCCTCGTTGGTCTTCTGTTTTGAATAGTCTATAAAGTGGAAGACTTAAAGGCAGTGAATCCGACGAATGGTGGGCGGGGCGACTTTGGTGAGATCATAGATGAGCTGAGAACGGTGTAAAATTTGAGAGGAACTTGAATGAATTTGGGGGAGGGGTAACCATGTTGGGGCACCCACAGTAGCCAAGGCGTTCCTGAAAAAAGCTTTGGAAATCCCTTATTTTTCTTGTTTTGCTATTTCATCTTAGTGTATTTATCGAATTTAGAAACGACGAGAACATGCAGATTCCAATGGAGGTGTTGAAGCAGTTCGGTGACCTTGGCGGCTTAGGTGCTGTGGTACCTCCAGAGTACGAAGGAGCTGGTATGTGCAATGTCCAGATGGCAAAACTTGCTGAAACCATTGGCGCTCACGATCTGGGATTTGGCGTGGTGATGGGAGCTCATCAGGTG